GGTCAGGATGAGCTCCAGGGAAAACTGGGAATGCTGAAGGGTCAGGAGGAGCTCCAGGGAAACCAGGAATGCTGAAGGGTCAGGAGGGGCTCCGGGGAAACCGGGAATGCTGAAGGGTCAGGAGGGGCTCCGGGGAAACCGGGAATGCTGCGGGTCAGGAGGGGCTCCAGGGAAACCGGGAATGCTGAAGGGTCAGCAGGGGCTCCAGGAAAACCGGGAATGCTGAAGGGTCAGGGGATGCTCCAGGGAAACCGGGAATGCTGAAGGGTCAGGATGAGCTCCAGGGAAACCGGGAATGCTGAAGGGTCAGGATGAGCTCCAGGGAAACCGGGAATGCTGAAAGGTCAGGAGGGGCTCCGGAGAAACCGGGAATGCTGAAGGGTCAGGGGATGCTCCAGGAAAACCGGGAATGCTGAAGGGTCAGGAGGGGCTCCAGGGAAATCCGGGAATGCTGAAGGGTCAGGATGAGCTCCAGAGGAAATCAGGAATGCTGAAGGGTCAGGAGGGGCTCCAGGGAAAACTGGGAATGCTGAAGGGTCAGGGGATGCTCCAGGGAAATCCAGGAATGCTGAAGGGTCAGGATGAGCTCCAGGGAAACCGGGAATGCTGAAGGGTCAGGGGATGCTCCAGGGAAAACTGGGAATGCTGAAGGGTCAGGAGGGGCTCCAGGGAAATCCGGGAATGCTGAAGGGTCAGGATGAGCTCCAGAGGAAATCAGGAATGCCGGAGGGCCAGGAGCAGCTCCAGAGAAAATCGGGAATGCTGCAGGAGCAGGTCCCGAGCTCAGCCAGGGAAGGATCCCGGTATTCCCTCCCGATGGGATTTGGGGTCTGCAGGGTCCCTTTGGGAAGGGGAAAAAATCCGGGATCTGCCCAAGGGAGGGAGGATGGAGCTCGTGCTTCTGGGATTAGGGGATTTTTAGGGGATTTTTAGGGGATTTTTAGGGGATTTTTAGGGATCATTTGGGAGTGCAAAGGGAACTGGACATCCCAGTTTAACTCAGGGATTCTCCCAAATCCCAAATTCCTCGGCGGCCATGAGGATGCACAATCTCATTTCTCTTTTTTCTCTCTAATTTCTCAATTTTTCCTACAATTTCCCATTTTAGTCCTACAATTTCCCATTTCCCCCCACAATTTCTCAATTTTTCTATAATTTATATATTTTCCCCCTATAATTTCTCCATTTTCCCCATAATTTCTCATTTTCCTCCATAATTCCTCAATTTTTCCCATAATTTCTCAATTCCCCCCCAATTTCTCTAATTTTTTCCCATAATTTCTCTCTTTTCCTCCTGATTTGCCAATCCCCCAACAGAAACCACCCCTCACCTACAGCAAAGAGAAAACCAGGAATAAATCCCACAAAACCCTCTGTGTGTCCAGGGGGGAAATCAGTTGGAATTTGGGCTCTGCATCCTCGAGCAGGGAGAATTTCTCAGCACTGATTTAATAAAAAGTCCTCATTTTCCACAAAGAAACCCAAAAACCTCGTGGATCTTCCCCAAAAAAATAAAAATAATAAAAAAAAAAGTGAATATTTGTGAGCTCTCCAGTAACTTTTGGATTGGGAATAATAATTTGGATTGCCAGAGCTGAGAATTCCCCAAAAGCAGGGTTGGAAAAGTGGAATTTGAACATTCCTGGAGGTCAGGCCTTCCCTTCAATTATTGATTTCCTTTCTTTTCCTTCAATTATTGATTTCCTTTCTTTTCCTTAAATAAAGTTTCACCTCTCAGGAGGAAAATTGGGGGAAAAAAAATCTCATGGACCATTTACAGTTTTCCTATAGAAGTCCCTTCAATATTTTCAGGCTCCAGCTGCCTTCCACCCCTCAGCATTTGCAGAGCAGCCTAAAAAAGCCTCAAAAAATCAGAATTGAGTCAGAATTAAAGGAGAAATAAAGCGGAGTTAAAGCAGGATGAAATCAGCATTAAATCAGCATTAAAGCAGAGTTAAATCAGGATTAAAGCGGAGTTATAGCGGAGTTAAAGTGGAGTTAAAGCGGAGTTAAATCAGGATTAAATCCCAGTTAAAGTAGAGTTAAATCAGGATTAAAGCGGAGTTAAAGTGGAGTTAAAGAGGAATGAAATCCACATTAAATCAGAGTTAAAGTAGAGTTAAAGTAGAATTAAACCCAAGTTAATCCTTAGTTAAAGCAGAATGAAATCAACATTAAATCAGAGTTAGAGTTAAATCAGAGTAAAATTGGAGTTAGAGCAGACTTAAAGCAGAGTTAAAGGAGAGTTAAAGCAGTGTAAAATTGGAGTTAAATCGGAATTAAATCATCATTAAATCAGAGTTAAATCAGAATAAAATCGGAGTAAAGTCAGAGTAAATCCATCATTAAATCTGAGTTAAATCAAATCCGAGTTAAATCAGTATAAAATTGGAGTTAAACCAGAGTAAAATGAGTATAAAATTGGAATTAAATCAACTTTAAATCAGAGTAAAACCTGTATAAAATTGGAGTTACATCAGAGTTAACTCATCATTAAATGAGAGTAAAACCTGTATAAAACTGGAGTTACATCAGAGTTAACTCCTCATTAAATCAGGGTAAAACCTGTATAAAATTGGAGTTACATCAGAATTAACTCCTCATTAAATCAGGGTAAAACCTGTATAAAACTGGAGTTACATCAGAATTAACTCCTCATTAAACCAGAGTAAAACCTGTATAAAATTGGAGTTACATCAGAATTAACTCCTCATTAAATCAGAGTAAAACCTGTATAAAATTGGAGTTACATCAGAATTAACTCATCATTAAATGAGAGTAAAACCTGTATAAAATTGGAGTTACATCAGAATTAACTCATCATTAAATGAGAGTAAAACCTGTATAAAACTGGAGTTACATCAGAATTAACTCATCATTAAATCAGAGTAAAACCTGTATAAAACTGGAGTTACATCAGAGTTAACTCCTCATTAAATGAGAGTAAAACCTGTATAAAATTGGGGTTACATCAGAATTAAACCATCACTAAATGCGAGTAGAATGGGAGCACGATGCGAGCGCACCGGAGCCGGGCAGCGCTTACCGATCCTCCTCTGCTGGCCCCGGCCGAGCGGAGCGCACACGAGCAGCAGCAGCGGCAGCAGCGGCAGCGGGGCTGCGGCCATCGCGGCGGGGGCTGCTCTGCCCCGCCAGCCCGGCTATTTATGGGCGCCGGCCTCCCTCCTGCCTCCTGCCTCCCTCCTTCCTCCTCCCTCCTGCCTCCTTCTCCCTCCTTCCTCCTGCCTCCTTCCCTCCCTCCTGCCTCCTGCCTCCCTCCTTCCCTCCTGCCTCCCTCCTTCCTCCTTCCTCCTGCCTCCCTCCTTCCTCCTTCCTCCTGCCTCCCTCCTTCCTCCTGCCTCCTTCCCTCCCTCCTTCCCTCCTTCCCTCCTGCCTCCCTCCTTCCTCCTTCCCTCCCTCCCTCCCTTCCTCCCTCCCTCCCTCCTTCCTCCTTCTCCCTCCCTCCTTCCTCCTGCCTCCTTCATCCTTCCCTCCTGCCTCCCTCCTTCCCTCCCTCCTTCCTACCTCCTTCCCTCCTTCCTCCTTCCCTCCTGCCTCCCTCCTTCTCTCCCTCCTTCCTCCTGCCTCCCTCTTTCCCTCCTTCTCCCTCCCTTCTTCCTCCCTGCCTTCCCTCCTTCCTGCCTCCCTCCTTCCTCCCTTCCCTCCCTCCTTCCTCCTTCTCCCTCCCTCCTGCCTCCTTCCTACCTCCTTCCCTCCTTCCTCCTTCTCCCTCCCTCCTGCCTTCCTCCTTCTCTCCTTCCTCCCTGCCTCTTTCTCCCTCCTTCCTCTTCTTCCTGCCTTCCTCACTCCCTCCCTCCCTCTCTCCCTCCTTCCTCCCTCTTTCCCTCCCTCCTTCCTTCCTCCCTCTTTCCCTCCCTCCTTCCTCCCTTCCCTCCTTCCCTCCTCCCTCACTCCCTCCCTCCTTCCCTGCATTTCTCCCTTCCCTCCTCCCTCCTTCTCCCTCCCTCCTCCCCTCCCTGCCTTCCTCCTCCTCCGTCCATCTCTCTTTTCCTCTCTCCCTCCTTCCTCCCTCTTTCCCTCCCTCCTTCCTTCCTCCTTCTCCCTCCCTCCCTCCTCCCTCCCTTCTCCCTCCTTCCTCCCTTCCCTCCTTCCCTCCCTCCCTCCCTCCTTTCTCCCTCCTCCCCTCCCTGCCCTCCTCCTCCTCCATCCATCTCTCTTTTCCTCTCTCCCTCCTTCCTCCCTGCCCTCCTCCTCCTCCATCCATCTCTCTTTTCCTCTCTCCCTCCTTCCTCCCTGCCTTCCTCCTCCGTCCATCTCTCTTTTCCTCCCTCCCTCCTTCCTCCCTGCCCTCCTCCTCC